AGTAACCCCCTCACTTCCCACCCTTAATCATTTCTAGACTCCATTCTTCCTTGGCCCATGTAGTCCAGATCCTCAGAGTTCTGTTACCACGCGGTCACCCCAGCTGACTGGCCACTCCCATCCAGATCCTCCCTAGACCCCTCCTCACAGTCACCTCAGACTACCTGGCCACTCCTAGATCCCTCCCACAGTCTTTCTGTATATAAGATTCATCTTAGCCTCCACTAAGGTGCTGAGATTCTTAAAATCTGGCCAACAGCACAGACTCAAAAGGAATCTTGCTCACTCAAATCAGCGTTCTAATAAACCTTGTCTTTGGCTGAAATAAGGCTTAGGTCGAAACAGCAAGTTATCAGGAAGAGTAGCTGCTAGAAGTAGACACATGGAGAGAAATAAGATGGAAATTCTGACAGCCTGACATAGCCAGTAGAAAAGAGTAATCATAAACAGCAGTCTGGGGTGCTTACTATAAAGCAAGCAGGACTTACTAGTGTATTAAAGCAAGGTAGAATAAATGATGCTCATGATGACCTTGATTCTTAACAGCAACTCATCTTTATGTAGTAATTTACAATTTATAAACTACTTTCTTCAGAACATTCTGTGCAGTCACTAGACGAGGCAGGACCTAACTGGGGCCATCAGTGCTAAGTGAGGCTGCCTTCACAGGTCTCTGGGTAAGAGAACCTGTTACTCTCCGCAGGACTTTCTAGCAGGTTCAATAGCCACTATTATAACTGCAGTCATCCCAGGTAGCTAGCTAAGCCTTCAAAGTGGCCTCAGAATGCATATCAAAACATCATCAAGTAAGTGTTCTGAGCCTGCAGTCTCTGGGTGTCCAAGAGTGATGTGACTCAGAAATCTAAACACGGAATTATTCCACCTAAAAGAATAGTTGTATTTATCACTTGATCTGTCCCAGAAGAGCTCCCTCCCCCAAGATAGTGGGCAGTGAAATTATGTATTACTCTCATTTGCAGAAAAGAAAACAGGCTCTTCAAGGTTAAGTGTCAATGGTCAGTGAGCAGTAGAGGGAGGGTGTGAAACACAAGTTTTCTAAATCTATGCCAGTGGTCTTTTGATTTCAGTTACCCGAAGAAATTATTAAATTTTGCTCAGGAAGGTAGGGAAGACATTATAGAATAAAAATGTTCAAGTCTGGCAGAAAGGGATAAACCCTGGGCTATCTAGGACACCTGAGTATCTAGAAGGGCTATACTTTCTGGGGATTTCAGAGAGCTAAAGTTTCACTATGTGATTCAAGGCACTGGGAATCACATAGAAGACTGGGAATGTTTCTAGTAAAAGTACTCATGGTCACTGCTAAGATCTCATTCTCTGACAATTAAAAGTTTGGCCATCACCAAGAGGTCCCACAGAAGACATAAAACAGGATTCTGGACTGTAAATATGGGAGTAGAGATGAATAAACTTTTGAAATGCATTTCTATAGTTGATAAAAGCAAATGTACCATCATCGTGGAAAGGCAGCAAAATGTTTTCCTTAATAAATCAACATTTTTAACTAGTTTATAAAATTCACTATAAGTGATGTTTCTTTGAGACATTCACCTTATCATTGAAAATATCATTTAGTTTAGCAACATGTATGCTGAAATCAAAGTACTAACTATATTTCCTAAGTTCAAAAAGGACTGAAACCTGCTATGACTAACAAAGACATTTTTAAAGGAACAAGATGAAAACTTCATGATACTGAATTGTGCTCCCTTCATCCCCACATCCCCCTTGCCCAGCCTCCCTTCTGCATGTATGGAGACTTACTCCATATATGTGTACATGATTACTCCCTCCATATCTTTCTTCCCAGACAGTGTGGTTAGCTAAAGGTGAAGTGAGAAAGGTAGTTTGTCATAGAGAAAATTTCATGAAATTCCTTGTACTTCCTTATTATATCTTTTAAGTACTTGGTTTTTATCCCACAGAAAATTCTTTTGTTAGTATTTTACAGCTGAAGTTAAGGCCAGTACTTTTTCTAGAGATGACCTGGTAAAAATCTGAACACTTTGGGAAATTTTAGGAGTTAGGCAGAAGTAAGCACTTCTTTCTCTGCAGCACAGGAGAGGGTATTTGTTGAACTCTGAATGGTTGGTAACCATTATCAACATTTTGTAAGAAATCATTCTTTATCTATCTAAAATCTTGTCATATTCTATTTAAATATATTTTAAGAAGCTAAATTTTGGTATAGATGATTTTATCTTTAAAATGTAGATAAAAATGCTTTGTAACCATAAAACCCTATATAAATATAAGGTGGTATTACTAGGATCCAGATTACTAAAAGCTGCAAGATGTAGAATACCGTAGCTAATTAGCAAACTTTACCAAACCAAGTAACATGTGGATAAAACAAATGGTCAGAAAGCAAGAGCAATGCTAAGATTTCAACCAGGCAGATGGAAGACTAGCTACCAAAGGCAAATCACTGATTTTTCAAAAAAAGAGATTCGTGATGCTGACATGCAGATGAATATGTCTTTTTGGTTCTCTCTGATAGTCAAAAGATGCAAAAAATTCATGATATTAAGTTTAACTGTTCCTATGTATTTAATTAGATTCTAACTTGCATCATAATTATTTGTATAGTTAACTTCGTAATTGGGAACTGGTTTCCATCTTTACAACCCCAGTTTCCACACGCATACTTCAGGTAATTAACAAATGCTTGTTGAATTGAACTCAAAGGGGAAATGTAAAATTTCCTCTGAAAAGTTGTAGGTAAGCACTTAAAGTTTTCTTTCCTACTAGAAATTCTTAAGGTTCCTCTAAGTTTTGAAACACTCGGCTTTTCACAATAAGAAAAAGTTCTATTAGAAAATCAGGATCTACCATCTACTATTTCCAGGGGGAAATTTCATATTTAAAAGGTGCATAATCAGTGAAGCAGCATTTAATTAAAGTGACCACAATCAGGCACAGTACTAACACTGGGGATACAAACAGTCTCTGCCCTGAAGTAGCGAACAGGTTAGCTGGGGAGGAAAAGAATATACAAACAATTGTGTATATGCAAGCCTATAGAGTGTAAAAGTGAGGTCATCTCATATAAGAAAGGAGAGGGAGTGGGGCAGCTAGGTAGCTCAGTGGATAGAGCACTGGTCCTGAAGTCAGGAGGACCTGAGTTCAAATCCAGCCTCAGACCAAACACTTGACACGTACTAGCTGTGTGACCTTGGGCACATCACTTAACCCCAATAGACTCACTAAAAAAAAAAAAACAAAAACCAAAAAAAAAAACCCAAAAAAAAAAAAAAAGAAAGAAAGGAGAGGGAGGAAAAGAATGGGACCAGGAAAGACCTTCAGCAGAAGGTAGAATCTGAGCAGAGCCTTGACTGAAGTCAAGAAAGCCAGGAAGCAGAGTATTATAGGCATGGGAGACAATCAGTGAAAAGCAAGAGAGAAGGAGCAAACAGGCTAGTGTTACTGGACTGTTGTATATGTGTAGGGAAGTCAATGCCAAGAAGGCTGAAAAGGTAAAAAGGAGCCATTTGGAAAGGGCTATTGAAGTGTACCAAATAGGGGGAAGGGGACATAGTTATACCTACACCATATGATCACTGATAACTGAGTAGACATATGGAAGTGAAGGCAAGAGGTGAAGAGGGCCTGAAGTTATTTCTCACGTGGCTTCACTGTTCTGGGACATCTCTGACTTCTCTACCATAACCTCACCATCCTTCAAGATCCTATCAGCTGAGGTACTCCACCTCACCACCATTCTCTGCCCATCTGACTGAAGGATAGTAGAGCCACGAATACCGAAACCTCCATCCAGGGAGGGAGCTCAGAACTTCTTGTTTTCCCTCTCTTCCTTGCCCCTGCCTCTCTCAGATTTTCAACTTCCTTTTGTGTTGTCTTCCCCAATTAGAGAGAAAGCTCCTTGAGGGCAGGGACTATCTTTTTTCATATTTCTATCTCCAGCATTAGCAAAATGCCTGGCACTTAGTAGGCACTTCATAAATGTTTATTGATTGACTCACTGAAGTAGGGTGGTGGTCATGTGAATGGAGAAGGTGATGCATAGATAGATGTTGTGAAGGTAATAAATAAGATTTGAAAGTATTTGATGATGCTGGAATGGGGCTCAGGAGAGAGATTAGAGCTGGATATATAAGTTTGGGAATCACCGGCAGAGGGATGATAACTACAGACCTAATTTGTGAATAGCTAAGGATAAGATCTATAACTAACACCTTTAATTTCTTTAAATATGGTGTTTTAAATACAGCAATTAGTGATTACTTATTAATCCAGTAAGAGACAAATTGTTTTTAAAAAAGAGATCTTTTAAGAAGGAAAAGAAACAACATAGGAAAGTAGAAACTCATGGTATATTGTTTGTTTCAATTAATTGGACATATTAAAAACTTTACTATTTGGTTTGAGGACCACCTCCCAGCCACCATCATCATCTACTGTAGTGGCTATTTGCATAATTTATAGCCATAGCGTCCAAAATTAAATAAGTTAAAAAAAATCAATATAAATCTTATAAACCCAAAGTGATCGAGGCAAATGAAAATTTAATCACAGAATTTTGGAAGTAGCAGAGGTCTTAGAAATTCATCCTTTCTTTTTTTATACAGGAGGAATTCAAACCAAAAAGAGGTTAACTTAAGAACCAAAGTCTCCTGACCCCAACTCCAATGCTCTTTATACAATAATCATGTATAAGTAATTACCTAATTATGTTATTCTGTAATTAATTCTAAGAAAAGGTGAATATTAAGATTAAATAACTTCTATTATAACTCTCAGAATATAAAAAAATGCATCATAATACTATATTCTAGTTCTATATTATAAAATAGTTTAAAATTTTGAAACAAATTATGAACACAGCAAAACTATTTAAAATTCCAAAGAATTATGTTAACCTAAGTCAATATACCATGAATGACTATAAAAATATCGGTTAGTTACTATAAACATTTTATTTTAATTTTCTGGTCTATGGTTAATACATGTTCACTTACCGTAACATTTCTAATGGATTTGTCTCATGAACCTGATTGCCACACTTTGGGCAATCATTACTATCTTCAAAGTGCTGGACTATGCAAGTCTTACAAACTAGGAAAAAGAAAAAGCGTTGTCAGATAACAAACAATAAGCAGTATTATACTATCATTTAGATAATGTTAAGTGAAATTTAACTGAAAATATTTCTTAAAGAATATAATTTCTTTTTGAATAAGGATTTTTTTCATTCTTTGTATACATATCCCCAGCACCTAACAATGTCTGGTACACAGTAGGTATCTAATAAGTGCTTGTTGATTTACTGATTAAACATTCCAGGTCACCTGTTACAGTAGAACATGATTTATTATACTTTAAAGAAATCTTAGAATTGCTACACTGTATCTAAACTTTATTAACATGGAATCCTATTGCAATTGTATAAGAATATATAGCTATAGTTATATGTGTCACACATACATAAATTTTTAGGTGTACTTACAAAAAGAAAATAATCTACATACATTATTCGTAATCAGTAACTTGGAATGTGCACAAAAGGGTATATTTTTCTGGTTTCAAAGCCACAACACCTAAGAAAGCAAATACCGGACCACCTAAACTATAATCAAACAAAGCAATCAATATCTATTTACCAAGCACTGAGCAAGCCCAGCGCTGGTGAGGTGTTAGAAATACAAAGACAAAAATGCAGCAGTTACTACCCTCAGGTAGCAAAATTCTATCAAGGAAAAGAACTCTTACTCACAAGTACATAAAAAATATACAGAAGGCAGCTTGGGAAGGGGAATGGCAGAAGCAGCCGCAAAGGTCAGGCGAGGCTGATCAGGTGGGACAGCACTTGAGGAAAGGAAGCTGGGGATTCTAGCAGGCAGAGATGAGGAGAGCCTGCATCCCAGGCATGGGGGGATATGCTATACAAAGGTACATGGAGGAGAGATGAAATGTTGACCATCGATTTAGCGCTGGAAGGGACTTCAGAGACCACTTAATTCAACGGAGGCCCTTAGAAATGAAGTGACTTTCCCCAGGTCACAAATGCAACAAGCCAAAGTTCACACCCAGACCCTCTGACTCCAAGTCCCACACGACTCCCATTGTCTCCTGTGTGTGAGAGATACATGAAGGGGCCTGTCTGGCTGGACTACAGAGTGCATGAAGGAGGATAACACATAACGCGTCTGTAAAGACAGAGTCAGGCTGCAAAGGCAGTCTATATTGTATCTAGAGGCAATACAAGGCCAGCAGAGCTTTCTGGACGAGAGCTGTGACACATACTTTAGAAATGGTGTTCTGAGAGCTGTGGAGAGCATGGACTGGAGATGGCAGGGATGAGGAGACCAATCAGGAAGCTAATGCAGGAGTCTAGACAAGAAGTAGCCAAGAGCTGAACTAAAGTGTTGGCCCCGGGAATCAAGAGAAGGGTGGTACAAGAGACGTTGTGGAGGTAGAAGCGTGGCATCTGACTGGATATGGGGGCAAAGAATAACAGTCAAATGTCAAGAGTGACTGAAACCGGGAATCTGGATAACTGGAAGACAGACTCAAAAGAAAAAGGAAAGTTTGGAAGAGCAGTGGATTTGGGAAGAAATACTGTAATAGCAACAATAACTAATATTTATGTAGCATTATCTTAAGGTTCACAAAGCTCTTTATGTATATTATCTATTATCACATTCCACCCACATGGCCACCCACCGAGGAAGGTGCCATGTTTTGGACATGCATACATTTAACACTTCTGCTATAACTGTACCTGAATGAAAGCAATAAGAAGTATAATGTAGATCATTCTCTATGCTCTGATCTAACTGGATTAACCTTAACTACTCACCTCACAAATGAATTCCAATGATTACAAGAGGAATCACAGCAGAAAAAAAGAACACTTTGGCAGAGCATATCACCATGAATGAGAAAGGTCAATGGGTTCACAGCATCTTCTTTTATCTTTATCTGGTTGGTTCTTATCTAGCCTATCATAAAAACAAGTCAACATCAAGGCAGTTCATTCCGTTCTTGAGCCCACTGCCCATACTTCAACTAAGGACAACTTTTTCTCGAAATTACTGTAAAGAACTGCATATTGTACTATTTGTGATCCATATGGCCTTTCCATCTCTCTCATACCGTAGAACAAACAGCCTGCATCACATCTCTGACACCTGTGCTTTGCCACACATTGTCATGTGAAGTCTGTTCACAAAATAAAATCTTGCATACGCAACACTTCAACTCTTTTTTAACACGAGTAATTGACCAACATTCCAGTCACATAACTTTTCTACTCAAAAGCCTCAAGTGGCTCCCCACCACTGACCTAACAAAAGCTACCATTTATATAGCATTTAAGGTTTACAAAGAGATCTACATATATGACCTCATCTGAGCTTCATATTAATTCTCTGAGATAGGTAAAATGGATATTTTAACCCCATTTTAGAGATAAAGAAACTGAGGCTCAGAGACGTCACAAATCTACTAAACATCAGACCCAGGGCTTACTTATGCCAAGTTCAACATTTTGCCAGTAATAAAGCAAATACTCCAGATCCAGGCATTCAAGGTCCTCTACATTCTGGCTCCAACATACCATTGCAGCTTTGATACCACTCATGCACATGCACCATGCTCAAACCAAAGTGGACTACATTTGCTTTTCTCTGTTTTCATCCTTTCCTACCTCAGTTGTCTTTGCATATACTATTATTGTCTTTGCCTGGAATGTAGGCACAATACCCATATGTTAAATATCCCTACTGTCTTCAATGACCAATTCAGACACCACCTCTGTCCCCTCCATCCTCTTCATCTGCAAATGTTCTTCCCTTCTCAAACTTCTCCTAACACTTTGGCCCTCTCCATTTATACTTCTCTCACTCTCCTTTGTATCACAATGATTTCCATACATGCCATTTCTCCTATTTAATTGTAAGCTCTTTGAGAGCAGGTCCTATACCATACTTATCTTTGTACCCATAACATCTAGCATTTTGTCTCCACATAGGCACTTAATGGTATAATAAATGTTTAGCAGCTTAGCATGTGTCAACAATACATTTCTTCTCTTGCTACATTTGATTTCAAAAATGTTTTGGCATTGCTACATGACCAAGATACTTGCTCATGACAAACTTACTTGCTCAAACATTTCCCCATTTATCTGTAAGGGCCCATCTTGATAATGTTCCTTATATATTCATTTTGATTTTACAAGATCCATCAAATCTTAACTCATTCCAACCAGTATACCATATATTGTATGAACCAGTATAACCTGTATATCATATGAACTGGCTCAATTTTGGGACAGAGTTACCAAACACAGTTAAGTCATCTACTGAAAAAAGATGATAAGTGTTAACATTATGAACATCTATTAATTATTTTTTATTGAGATGAATGTCTTCTTACTGTTATGCCATGGTGTGAGGAAAGGTTTCAGGAGATGGACTATTGAGAAGGACTCCAAGCTAGGACACTAGAAATTCAAGTACGGCTTGGTGAGGTATGTATCAAGGTGAGGCAAGTAAGTCAAGAGCCTGAAAGGTCTAGCAAGGTTTAAAAAGACTGAGAAGCATAGTATAACAGAGCAAGCAATATGTTAAACATAGTCATGAGGTATAGACAAGCTTCTATAGGCACAGACGAGATTCTAAGGTTAAGGCAGGAAAAGGTCCAGAGTTCAGAGAGTTTGAGGCAGAAGCACTAAGGTATAGGAACAAAAAAATACTTTATGGTCCTAAAGCATGGAGGGGTTACTGTTTACCTTCTGCCAGACCATCCTTGTTATGTGTAGATAGCTTTGGGCCCAAAGGATTGTGATAACCAAGAGGAGAGTTAAGCAACTGCAACTCTACCTTGACCCTGTGTGGGAGAGGTGATAGGATTATCAGTAGGTTATCTAATTGGCCCTCTAACCAGGAAGTATCCTTGGCTCTTTCTGGAGCCCAGACCTGTGAAGATGGGTTACAAAGGAAAGCCTGGTCTTTCACTGCAGTATTGACTCTGTTTAGACTTCCAAGACTAATCCCTCGGCCCCAGTCCTTAGTCTATTTAATAATGGAGGCATCCCTAGATTCTCTTGAAATAAAGGGTTTGTTAGATCTAATATTTCTCTCCTCTGTTCTATGATTAAAAGGGGAGAAAGGGCAACTTAGACAGTGAAAAGTTCTCTTAGTAAGGGGTAGAATACCAGCTGCATTGAGTCAGTACAGAACAGCAAATTTAAATACAAGAGAAATCTGCTACATATTTGGAAAAGGTCAGTTATCTGTTGTTGAGATTTACCAAGTGGTGATCAGGGGATAGCCACATCTTGTCCTGTGAACAAAAGAGAGGTCTCACTCAGCAGCAACAATGTACCTGACCTCTGAAGACTTGTTAAATCTTTCGTAGCTGAGGTCAGCCCAGAGCAGATTGTGCAAAGGTGGCAGCCACCACTGTCAGTGGTAGAGCTAAGTGAGGATTTTGGAACAGGGGTGGGGAGGGGTGGGGGGTGTGTGTGCCATGACAGAGGACATAACTGGCACATGAAGGACTCTCCTACGTTAAGATATCAATGGAGATGTCACAGGAAAACTCCATGAAGGACGGGAGACCTGCGCAATCAGTTGTCTTGCAAGTACTCCAGAAAGCCCAACGAAAAGAGTACTGCTTAAGTATCTAGTCCACCCTCTTTGTCAGACTATGAGTGTGGTCAAAGATCAGAAGAGCCAGCAGGATTTTTGAAATGTGTGAAGTGAAGAGGAAATAGTGGTTAAGCACTCTTAACCTAGGGTCTCTGAACTTAAAAAAAGTTTGATAACTGCATTTCTATATAATTAATTTCCTTCATAATCCTATGTGTTTTATTTTATGCATTCAAAAACATTTTAAGAAGGGGTTCATCATCTTCACCAGAATGCTAAAAGGATCCAGGACACAAACAAGGTAAGGACCCCTATTCTAGAGGATACACTAAGGGCAGTTACATGAGGAACACTCGGTAGCAACTATTCCGGGGCAAAGTAGATAAGTTAGTCTACAAGTTAACTAATTCAATTAAACATTTTACAAAACATTAGAGTTGAAAATAATCTTGGGGAATC